GGGTTGGATTTTAGAGACAACTAGCAAGTAAGATAGTTACTAGTTAGAGTAAAACCTAGAAGTTTTAGACTTCATAGAGAACTGAAGTTTTCTTTGTAGGTATTTAATCTTAACTGATTATAACTAAAAAGTAATTTTGTAATTAAAAAGAATACAAAAATTAATCAGTAATGCTTTCAGTTTATTTAAATGGTATTGTATGTTATATTCAAAATCAACATGTTTTCAATCCATATTAGAAAATAATCTGAATAGAGTACATTTATATTACAATTTAATTAATTATTTAAAAGTTTTAGTCCCACCATCAATTAATATCCAAAAAATGACACGAGAACTTGTTAAATTTACAAAAATATTTAAATATAAGTGTATTATCACAAAATTAATAAATAACTTTCTTTTAAAGAGTGATAATTACTTTATTAATTCACTTAACAAATTTTTGCTTTGGTAAAATTGGATAAAGTACATATTAATAATAACATAATATTTAACAGATTTATAATGATCATAGAACAATGCATTTTAAATTTAAAGTTTTAACATAATTAAAATTGAAWACTTTACATATCACAAAATATAAAATTTTCCGAAACCCATAAAACACCAAATATTAATAACATAAAATACAATTTTAAATCCTTAAGTACTTTGAAAATATTTATCTCATATAGTGTTCACTATAAGCTTGTAAGTTATTAATTTTAATACAAATAGAAAAAGATCAATTAAAAAAATATTAACAATATCACATTTTAACTAGTAATGATAATATAGTTCAAATATACTACATGTTATGTTGAGAAACATATGTTTTAAATTAAATTTCAAAATAATGCAAAAATATATCACATACCCTAATAAATAGGGCTAGTAACAATTTAAAGGTATATTTGAATGATTTAATAATAATTACTATATTAACAAATGTAATTAAAAATAACTGATTTACAATGAGTTAATTATATTTAATTACAAAAAACCAACATATAAAATTAAATATAAACTCATAAATTTTGTATGGAACATATTTTATTTTGATAAATATTTAAAACACTATACAACTAATCACTTAAATATATACATTTGGTTGTATTTAAGAAACTAAATAACAAAAGTATTTTAAATTTAAAAAAATAATACATTTTATTGTTAAAAAAAAGTGCTTTAATGCAGTTAGGTTATAGTGAGGTCATATTAATAATAAATACTGTTTTTAAATAAAAAATTAATTCTAATATAATGTTACCATTTGTAGTTATTGTTAGTCTGAGATGTACTTGGAGTTGAATAGTTCTGTTGATAATGTCTATTACTAGTACCTCTAATATCTATAATCAAACAATTATTATAACATCTCATAATTATATGCAATAAAAATAAATATTGTATATTTTAAAAATGTATGAGACGATACCACTTTTTACTGATATTATCAGATTCTCAGATAACCAGTTTATATAAAAATATAATTTTTATCAAAACCATGACCAATATTAAAAGGAAACCAAGATCAGCTATAGTACTGCCATCAACCATCATAAATCCACGCATTTATGTTATAAATATATTATCCTAATTGATTTGGTCGAAAAAACCCCAAGATACCAATAAACCAAATATCAAGTATCAGACTAGTATTGACCAATCCTTAATTTTAGTGTTAGATGTATAATAAGTTTTTTTTTTTAGATAACAATATTTACTTACTATGCATGTTAAAACTATTTCTACTTGTTCTAAAACTTGAGCTACTGTCTGTGAAACCTGTTGATTTAATTTATAACATATGAGTTAGATAAATATAGATTTATTTTATAAAATATAAAAAAAATTTTTAAAATAATAAAAAAATTTTACTTTTATTTTGAGATTGCTGACCATATGGATATTTGCGAAAAGAAGAGAATGAAGAATTATCATTATTTTTGCTATGACGACCTTATAAACAAAATAAACACAATAATAATAATATCGATGTAAAATGCATATAATTGCAGTTATAAACTTTTAAAAGCTAACCTTTATTACTATTCTCTTTTGGACGTTTACCAACATCATCAGGAGCCTCTAATCCTATAGCGTTATCTTCTACAGACAATACTTTAACAACTGATTGAACAACATTACTATAGGACTACACAAAGAATGTAAATTACATAAAAATTATAAACATAAAATAGTAAATTAATATATTTACACTATGTTGGGAGATCATTTTGTTTTTAAGAAATTCACGGTAAGCTAGAGTAAGACATAACCGCATGTTTAAGATTTTTGTAATATCATCTAAATTTCCAACAAAACTAGTCCAGCCGTCCAAATTTAACCTTCCCAATTTGTCTTCATTTTCTTCATCACTATCATCACTATCATCTATAATTATGAAGTTTGTTTATTTAAATTATTCTTCAAGTAACACCATTAAATATATATTTAATTTACCTCCAGTTTTAACAGAATCTAGAGGTAATTTCATAGCACTAGAAAAAAGAGCAACAGACATTGGTGATACTACTGTGCAGTTTTTTATAAACTTTTTAGTATTGAAAGAACTCATTTCTTCAAATATTATCCATTCTGATGGTAAATCTTTGGTATAATTTTCACGTAAAACACTTGATCCATGGTAAATAACACTTTTTTCTGTCCTATAAAATTGAAATACAATTAATTAAAAATGATTGATATTAATTACATCATTATTGGATGTAACTAATTACTTTGTTTTCAAAATTGGTCTAGGATTAGATTTATCTAGTTTAGCCAAATTTGGATACAACCCAGCTAATAAACAAGCTTTAACAGCAGCCCAATTATTTGAATTGATATTTACATCCCTTATATCATTAGGGCCAGCACGGGTCTGAATCAGCTCCAATGCTCTTAACTGACCTAGCAATTGAGTTCTAGTTTGTGTAATTAATCCCATAATTGATTGAGAAACTAGGTTAAATAAATCACTATCAACCATATTTCCTTCATTAAATGCCTAAAGAACATAACAACAATTATTTCTTTTACCATAGATTAAACAATTTAATAGATCGCCAACAATAAACAGAGCTGTACCACCAAGTAAAACCTTAAAATATTTGTATTTATGAATTCCTGATAAATACTTCTCTGTATCTCAATATTTTATATGTAGATTATTCAAGCAAGTGATCTACTAATTAAAAAATAATATACTTCTTMAAATACCTATTTTAGTGTAATAAACGTCAGGATATAAAGTTTTAGAAAAATTTCTATTTTTTAAAGTAAATGTCAAGTATTTTAACTTGCATATGGTAGAAAATAAAACTAAGAATTTCAAAAATGCAAATCTATTTTAAATATATAATCAAGTCAAAAGATGCAGCTGATTTATAATTTTAAGTTTTTAGAACACAGTGGAAGATTGGTATCTGAAAGTCTCAAGGAACAAAAAAAGAAATTTGAGTTACTGAAACAATTTAAAATGAGTCTAAAACAAAATCCTGCCAGCAATATTCTACTGGATAAAATCCCGCCGCCTAAATCGCGTTCGGACAAAATCCCGCAAAAAGTTCATTAAATTGTTGGTGGTTTCTCTCTAGCGCAGTGGTGGCCAAACTACGGCCCGCCATCATTTAATATCTGGCACGCGAAAAGATCCTCTGTCAACAGAAACAAACTCATAGTTCTCATTAACAAATTAATACATTTTAAAATATGTTTTGTAAGTGTAAAACGATATTTTGTATAGTTTATATATWTTTTTATATGTGTTTTAATAATTTATTTAAAAATATTTTTTTAAATGTAAGCTGATTTAATTTTCTTTCATTTGTAGTAATTATTAAGTTAAGTATTAAATAAAATCATTAAAATTATTAAGTACAATAAAAATGTCGTTAAATATAAAATTATATACCTATACCTAAAATTCTGATGACTTGAAAGTAAAAAAATTTGTATGGCCCGCGGTAGAAAATTTTTTTTTTTTATGGCCAGAGTTAAAAAAAGTTTGGCCACCACTGCTCTAGCGTAAAGGAAACTTCTATACACTTATAAATTATTACCTTTAGCACTTTTTACAAATTCCATATTAAAACTTAAAACTTATGACGAGAGACACGTGCGACGTGGAATACGTGTGTGTTAGTACTGTATACTGATATATTAATTTGATGTTACAAATGTCATATACTAATATCGTAAATTCAGAGATAAAGTACAATTAATAGATCTTCACGCGCCTCAGTTAATTGAGTATATATATATACCTATATGGCTATCATAGGCGTGCACAGGGGGTATGCCGGGTATGCCATGGCGTCCCCTGCAGTCTACTCAGATAGCTTGTTTCATGTTTTTACTTTTAATAGTGAAAACTAGCAATATTATCATAATTTTTATCACAAACGTAACAGAGAGTTTTGTACAT